TGACATGTTAGTCCTATTTGGGGAATAAAAACATGGTAGTCCTATTCTGGAATTCCAAACTCCATTTATTCTTATTTTGGGAAATCTCCCTTGCCGGAATTAGCGGTCACCGGTAAGTGCCTCAGCAGTGCCCCCTCTAGGCCTCTCCATTCACTCGATTCCATCGACCAGCGTAGAGGCTTGGCGGCGTGGCAGCACCCTTTAATCGTCAACGGCTGGTCCGTTCGTCACCTATTGGGACAGAGGTAGTACTAGTTATGTTTTTGGACAAAAATAAGACTAGTCATTGTAGCTAGTCACCTATAATATATTTTGGAGTGACAAGTCGTTGTAGATGACGAGTCATTGTAAATGGTCACTAAATATGTCATTTTTGGATTTTTTTTAAAAGACATATTTTTTATCTTTTGAATTTTATTTAGTAATATTCATGGAAAAAGAGTTTTTATTTATTAATATATTAAAAAATAAAAATATTGTGAAAATTATCTTGTTTTTCTATCTTTCCTCTGTTTTTCTTTTATCGTGTATCTTCATTATCTTTTTATGTTATTTTTATGCTCTTTTACTTTTTTCATTTATCTTTCTGATAATCTTATGTTATTGTTTTCTTATATTTATATTTATCCTACTTTACCTTTTTTTCCCTTATCTTTCTTCTCCTTTAGCAGTGATATCATTGATCGATTCATGTTAGCCGAACCCAAATTCTTTTGGGATTAAGGCTTGAATGTTGTTATTGTTGTATTGTTAAAATTATCTCATTGTATATTTGAAATTTAATTTTTTTAGCAAAAGAATAAAATATACTATCGTGTTAATGATTATAGTTTGTTTGACACATATTAATGGTCAAAGTTATGCATCCAGAAACGTTAAAAGGGAAACATTGCACTTATATAAGGATGGATGTGTAGTATCGATTTAGACAGAAGACAAATTAAGACATTTGTGAACTTTGAAGGGTGTATTGAATATGGATTGTGGTGATTTTTTTATCCATGAACTTTTAAAAAAACCAATGGACTATTAACTCCATAAACTTTTTTATGAATGAATTCTTTTGACTTTTAAATTCATGGATAAGTTTATAGACTTTCAAAACGTCCATAAACTTTTAAATCCGTACCGCCACTGCTGGTTGGGTCGTCGGAATTTTCACCTAGATTGCCACCACTAATCTGTCTGTTCGCCGCCATCATCATCAAACTGATCCGCCACCAATAAAATGACTTTAATTATCCAAGGGAACTAGAGACAATTAATTATATGATTGAAGGAAAATCAAACATATAATCATACTTTGAAAAAATGCTATGTTTTAGTCCTACCGTGGGTAATTTCCTCCATATAATATGATAAGAAACAATTAAACAAATAAATGAAAAAAATGTAATTCATCTAGCAACTCAAAGCTAGGCAAGAATAAATGAAGCATAAGAATCCAAATTTATTTTAATTAAAAAGAAAACTCAAAGTTTCAAGAATGCTAACAATCTCAGTCTTTTATGATCAATTGTTATATTACACAACTCAATGACTAAGAACATTAATCGTTACACAAATGTTACACTCATTGTTGCATGTGGTACAAACATAGGTGCAATCGAGTTTTTATTCTTAATAATTGTTTTCCTTTCATTTTTAGTTTGCTAAATTTTGTATACTTATTTACAGTTAAATATATATTAATTTGAAATTATATTTTTATGTGTTAGCGATTTAACGATGAAACACAGTTATAGTTAAAATAGTTTTTCTTAATGATTCACTGATAACGTATCAGAATTGCACCGATGTAATACTATCAATTCTTATATCGGTTCTTCTAAAACCTTCTAGAACCGAATCAAGATGGGATCGATTAATGGTTTTTAAATAGTTCCTTTTTTGGGCAATTCTTTCTAACCTATTACAATATTTGTTTTATGTTAAGGCCAACATCCTTGAATTGGGATGAGATTTGAACCTGTGACCTCCTCCTTGGGAGTGCCACAATGATAACATCAGACCACAAAGTACTTGGCAATGGTTCCTAATTTTATTTCAAGAACTGAACCGATCTCACTCCTACATTTTTCTTCAAATCTTGCATATTGAGATCATCCCGGTACCCACCTCATGACGCGGCCGGTACTAGTCCAGGACTTGTTGGGGGGTTTGTGATACCGGGTAAATAATTAGTCAAATCTGCAACCAGATTTATGCGTACTTGTGACGAGTAGAAGACAACAGAAAAGTCCACGAAAATCTTTGGTGAGGAGACGAGACAATTGCAGAGAACTAATGAACTGAAAAATGAGTTAAAAGTCCATGAGATTCCAAGATTTTAGAAGTCAATAAGAATGAACGTAGTTTTGAATACGCCTAAACTTTTATAAATTTTAATTCTACATTGAATACACCTAAACTTTTGTAGACTTTTAAAAGTGCACAATGAATACACCTAAACTTTTAAATTCATGAACTTTTAAAATATTGTTACTAACTCCTAAAGTCCTAATACAATACACCCACTTTATTCATAAACTTATTCCTGTAAAAATAAATTTATTAGTGAAAAATAAATATAATGGTAACTAATCTGAAGAAACATTTTCCTTCTTACTTTACTTTTGAAAGACAAACATGTTAAATTGCCTATACTGAAAGGCAAACATGTTAAATTGCCTAATATTAGTGAGCACTAGATTAGGAAACATATAGGGATGCCATCTTAGGATCGGTATTAATCCAAAGTACACCGAAGGTCTGATTGCCTTTGTAATTATTGTTGTCCCTTTTGTATTGAACACGGAATACGGCTTTGATATCCATTAGAGCATTAATCTCTTAAGGGAATTAGTGTGGACCGAAGTTTCTATATAGAAAAACAAAGTGTAGGTGCTTTGGTCTTTGAGTCGGTAATGAAATTTAAGCGAATCCAAAACAATATTAGATAAATTTTAAACCTTAGATACTTGATTTTTCAATGATGAAACAGGGGGCTCTATTAAACACGAAACCTCTCTATCCCAAAGAAGAAACGACACATGTGAGGTACTATCAACAACCCTTACATTTACCTTATACTTACACAAATGAGAGACGGTTGGTAAAATCATCCAGAACACATATAATTTGAATCACAATTTTCTCTGTGAAAGCACACCTCAGAACCACATACAAAAAATTGCAAGATAAACACTGAAAACTGTCACCATTGGGTGACACTTTTCGGTTACATTCTATGCATGAAACACATTACCAATCTTTGTGGCTGTCTATTCCAGCAATTTCTCCATACACCCAATGTTTACCATTCTTAAAGGATAATGAAAAAGTCAATATAATCTTAGGATGTAGTATAGTCTGAACTGTTTCGAACAAACCTCCTCCATTTTTGTCAGTTTCTCAACGGTTACCAATTGTCTGTGTCTAGTGTTAATATCGCCCTCGATAGATGTATCCGAAAATATGGTAAAACTTAAGCCCTCACCGCACCTATTAGTCATCTTGTGTCAAAAGTCGTCAATCACCGGTGTCAATCATAACATCAGTCGTAGTTCCAAGAATTTTGTAGGATGAAATGTTGTATACCTTGATTTAAAATGATTGAACTCTTCCTCAGCCCCAATCAGAATAACCTTTGTGGTATTGGACATGTTGGATACATGGACTTGATCTAAACACACTTTGTCATTTAGTAATAAAAATATTAAAAAAACACAAAAGATTTTTACCTTGATGTTTTTTTGCTCTGCAGCATTGCAGTAACATGAAAATAGGTCCTGATGTGGTTAATTTATACGTTAGCAGATGTTCTACCATTGGACACCAAAGCGTGCAGGCAATCACATTCCCCTTATAGAACACACATTTTTAATTAGAAATACATCTAATAGTGCTACTTAGTGTTCAATTCGATGATAAAATTTACTAACTCTGTATCTCTTAGGATGAGTTCAATCAACTTATTAGGACGATCATTCTTCAGAATTGTCTTAGGGTATTTATCATGGACAACTTGTCCAATGACATCTGGATTTTCCATGAATTGATTAACAATTGAAATTAAAATGTTTATAATTGACTGGATCAAATTATAAACCCATCGATTGCAATTTTATCATCAATGGCCTTTTGTTCCTGTAAGGCAGCAAAGAAAATGTTATCATTGGAAAAGGAATTCTGATTTCAAAAGCCTAACTCTTCTTAAAGAATCAGAGTCTGTATGCACTCGTCGTAGTTTTGAAAAACACAAAATTTTCTTCAACCATAAAGTTTTTCACTGCAAAAATTCGACCCTCCTTAAAGAGATCAGCAAATTTGGCAATAAAATGGTCCGGAATGTGGGCATCAATCTTTGATCCCTATTTTATTCAAAACGGTATGTTAAAACAAATGGTAAAAATCGATGAAGAAAAATGATGAAATTTCACACTCTTCATAATGAAAGATGACTTCCAAAAATGGTGGAAATCCATCATGTGTAGGTTCATGATAAACCCCTGTGGCCCATGACTTTATGGCCGAAGTGGTCCTACTTGGGTCAACCTCACGAATCATAGACCACAGACCAACCATTATTGAAAGAAATATATGCTTCTTTAGCTATTTCAGCTTGATATGCACTTTGGTGTAAGAATTGTCATACCGCAGTGTTGCTTTTATAGCTGAGATTGAGATGCATGAAATCTCATTCATTATGTTCAGCTCCCATAACCACCAATAGAAACAAAGCATTCTAAACAGTGACTAAACCTCAAGTTCTGATTTTTTGTCAACAATGCTCACCTCCTTTTTTAAGCAATAGAAACACACCCAATTTATTTGAGCCCTGTGCACCACCTCCTTTTTTGTCAACAGTGCCCACCTCCTATTTTAACCAATAGGAACACACCAAATTTATTTGAGCCCTGCACACCACCTTCTTTTCTGTCAACAGTGCCCACCTCCTTTTTTAACTAATAGGAACACACCCAATTTATTTGAGCCTTGCACACTTCCTTTTGCACCAATAAGAATTGCCAAATCACAAACCATCATGTGCTGACCAAACTAATAATTCATTTGTATTTATACAATAATTCTTTTGTATTTATATTCACAAATATAAAACTAAAGTATTGATGGTGACATCTGAGAGCGAGAATCTGATCCTCAAAATCCTTTTGTTTTTAGATTATAATAGTTTTGTCATGTCGTGAAAAATATTAACAAATTGACTTATGCTTTAACAGTGGTTTACACGATTGAATTTAAGAAAAGTGGGTTGCCTCATGCCCATATTTTGTTGTGACTGTCGCTTGAGGATAAGTTCTTGGCCCCCAAGGATATTGATAGGGTGTTATCTTCTGAAATTTCGGATATTAACCGTGACCCGATGTATTATGGAGCAGTTAGGGATTTTATGATGCATGACCCTTGCGGTGGAGTTGTCAAGTCTGCGCCTTGCATGGTTGATGGTAAGTGTACCAAACACTTTCCCAAAAAATTGTGTGCTGAAACATTAGTTGACGACGACGGTTACCCCGTGTATAAGCGTGGTAGTAATGGTTGTGTAATCCGTAAGAACAATGTTGATTTAGACAATATGTTTGTTGTTCTGCATATTTGTTGATGAAATATGATGCCCATATGAATGTTGAGTGGTGTAATCAATCAAGGCCGATCAAATATTTGTTCAAGTACATAAACAAAGGGCGTGATCGGGTAACATCTGCATTTTACCATACCGTGGATGGTGATACTCAGCATAAGTCGATTGACGAGATTCGAATGTATTATGATTATAGGTACATTTCCCCGTGTGAGGCTGCTTCGAGAGTGCTTGGTTTTTAAATTCAACACAAAAACCCGGTAGTAGAGCGTTTGAGCTCTCATTTGCCCCCCAGAATCTGTCGTGTCTCATGATGATCAACCCCTCGAATTATTGGTAAATGCATCATCGGTTAAGGATAGTATGTTCACGGCATGGATGGAGGCCAATAAAAATACCCCGAAGCAAGATCGTTGACGTATGTCGAGTTTCATCAGAAGTTCGTTTGGAAGAAAGTAACAAAGGAATGGACTCGAAGAAAAGGACTTTTGTTATTGGCAGAATTTATTATGTACATCCCAGTAGCGGTGAATCTTATTACAGTAGAAGATTTGAGAATGGTAGATGGTGTAACATATGTTTCATTTCGTGAGGCATGTTATGCGTTGGGATTGCTAGATGATGATAAGCAATTCATTTATGCTTTCAAGGAAGCTAGCCTCTCATCAGCCTTTTATATGAGGATTTTATTTGTTATTTTGTTATGGACAAAGTCCATGGCTTGCCCGGACTTTGTTTGGCAACATTGTTGGACGTTCATGAAGGATGACATACAACACACGCGGAGGCGAATATTGCAGCATCCAGGTTTCATCCACCGAAAAGTCACTGGTTCCTTAAATTAATAGATTTCGTAGTTTTTTATCAATATTTTATTTTATGTATTAACTGCACATATCTTCTCTCTCTTACAGATCTAATTTTATCGGCTGAGCAATTGGAGAAATTTGCTTTGGAAGAATTAGAATGATTGTTACAAGGTCGAGGAGAGAGTGTTAGTATATATGTCCTATCGACAATCACTTTTTAGAGATATATATACTTGATCACATTCAGTTTTATATATTTGATATATTCGGTATTACACATTGATGATTAAGCATTTCGATTGTCAATATGTTATTCATATATGTGTTCCCTTGGACTTATGTTGTCAATAAATAAGTGAAAGCTTATATAATATAACATAAGGTCCTAAAATAACCCCAATCATTGATCATCAAGAAAGGGATATTGATGTTATGTGATAAGAGTGATATGTGGACTGCATCATACTTTTATAAAGTATAGTTGATCTCACAATTATGAGTTCATGTAATTCATGATAGTCACATAGATATTTTAGAAAATATTGGCATACCCACCGAAAAACCATTTGATAAGCTTTATTCATGTGTCTATGGGATTATCGGCTCATTCTAACGAGGCTTTGTGATCATGCTTTGGAGGGGAAGATTTTGACTGGTGTGTGTTGGACAGAAAGTGTTGATTCCTAGATTGTCCTTGACTCCCTCAGATGCCAACTTTCCTTTCAAATTTCTGAGGCGACTATATCCAATTATGATTTCATATGCAATGACTATTAATAAAAGTCAAGGGCAATCCTTGTCGCGCATGGGGTCATTGTTGTTGAAGAAACTTGTGTTTACGCATGGACAACTCTATGTTGCGGTGTCTAGAGTGACCAACGGGCGCGGTTTGAAAATACTTATATGTGATGAGAGCGGGACAACCACTAAAAACACTCAAAATGTTGTTTACAAAGAAGTGTTCAATAACGTCTATCGTTTCATTGATTTCCTTTTTTAATGCATATTGCGAGGTATATTTTGTTCTATTGTGCAATTATTTTGGCTTAGTTTGAATATTATATTTCAATGTATAATATTTCATAAAGCGCGTATTGTGTACTTTGTTGGTATCTATTCTCCAGAGTGTTTTTTTTTATTAAGAATAGATCTTTTTGTAGAATGGTTATGAAAAACAATTGTGCTGCAATAATAAATTGGTCAGACATTCACCCACCGTGCACTACACGAGTGTTCTACTAGTTATAGTAATACTACTAGTAATACATTTCTTTGGGCCTTCGATTGAGAGGAGCCTTGTCCATTGGTTTAGGTGCCCTCGTGTGTCGGCCCTATGGGGTGAGAGTATTTTGTATTATGTACATTTTCACGATTCTTCCAACATTCGTTCTACGATTCTTCCAACATTCGTTCTATGATTCTATCTCAACTCTTTCTTTGTTAAAGAAGACCTTCAATAAAGAAAAGAAAATTGTTTGAAATTGATACACTTTAGATTAACACAAGCTTTCATTTTGATTAAAATACAAAGGGTTTTGACCTGTTGTAGCACCAAGAGCAACTCTAACTCTATTGACTTATCCTTTAAACAAATTAACTAAAAATGTCCCTTTTTATATATATTAGGCTTCCACCCATCAGTGATAGAGCCATGTAGGAAGCTTTCGCCACTGATACTAGACATAATATCCTTATTATCATTCATCTTATCAATTCCACTTTTTGAGAAAGTAGGAGGTAAGATTTGGATTTTTGGAGCATAAGTCCTACATCGCAGTAGTTTTTTATATGAACAGTTGTCTCCAAAGATACTCCTCTAACAAAAAGAAATTATCCTTTCCTGTTAAAGGATTTAGCACACAACATGTTACTACCATATTTTTCTAGCCATTTTAAAATTATGCGTCATACTAAAAGATTTATTTAGTAGAAAATTTCGAAATTGAAATTCTGGAGGGGAAAATCTCAATTGTTGAATATTTTGAAATTGAAATTCTGGAGCACATTTCAATCATCTCGATTTTAATTCAATCTTTGGGTGCCAAATGAAACTGAAATCAAACTAATAAGAAATTGAATCAATAAAATAAACTACGTACAGACTTACCCGGTTGAATCGATTGGTCAGAGAAGAGGAGTGATGTTGATGATCTGGAGGAGAAGAATGGAATGGGAGAAGCTCCGAAGGCAGGAAAAATATTTGGAACGAAAAGGACTCCTAAAGCAAATGAGATCTTCGAGAATAAAGAATGAGAAAGAAGAATATTTATCCGTGGAAATTACCCATACGGTCCACTTTTGTGTGTCACATATCATTTATAGCCCTACTGTTTTTTCTTTTCATTTTGAACTTTTCTATTTTCAATTATGTTTTTTTATTTCACATCTGGACATCTGCCCACCTCCTCCCTGTATCACCAGAGAGACGGAAAGTAAAATCACGACAACTGTTTCTCTTCACCCTAGGGAGAGAAGCAACGATTCAACTCTCTTCCTCCGTATGTGAACAAGGATAAGAGATCGGCCATTCATGCCAAGCTAAAGCGCGAGAAGAATGTAGAGAAACACAAGAAGGCCAAAGCTCGCGATGCTGCTGTAAAAATGGCTCTTGAGCTCGACGAAGAGTCTCCAGCAAGGGAGATACCGCGCACGATAGAGAACACTAGGGAGGCCGACGAGACATTGTGCAAATCCGACGATGAAGAGCTCTTTACGAACAACAATGTGGAATAAATTCAGCGGAGTGCTTCTAAAAGATCTACGAAGTAATTGCTAAGGTACTGATATCGACATCCCGATTGAAATCATAAGGGGGCCTTCCTTCATATCCAATTTTCTCTCTGTTATTTCTAATGCTCAGTTTTACTGCTTTTACTTATGACCTAAAAAATGATTGAATATGCCAAAATCAGGGATTTCACATCCATAAGTTTTGTACACACCAATTACTAGATACCAGATGCTCTGCTCATATTTAATTTGGTTTTACGGATGGACCTACTGCTCATTTCAAACTCTCCAGGCTTGTTTTGCATAAGGACATTGTGCATAAGTCCATAATTGGCAATGGAATGTTATTATGAAAATCAGTGCCTAGGTGTTAATTAAGATTTATCAATGTATCTCTACTTCTCCATTGTTTACACGTTAAGTTCTACCAGTTGATTTGAAAAATAGAAAGCTGAAATTGCTTGTTAAATCATTACTTTTTGTTTCACTGTGTTTTTTTGTTGATTTATGTTGATCACTTTTCAATTATTGAATTTTAATATTGTTGTTTTTTGTTTATTTACGTTTCCATTTGTTATTTCCTTAGTATAAAATGAATTTATAAATACAGTTATCAGGGCTTTGTAAATAATAACTTCTGTATGTATTAATTTGATCCATGGTTTTGTGTTATCTGCATTTGGGGAATTGGGGGTGTAGTGGTCAAAAGTAATTCCTTGTACTGGTAAAAACCTTTTCACCCACAGTTGATTGAAAATAGAGCTTTGTTCTTGTTGCTTCAGATTTGGGAGATTTTATACTTCTGAAATGCTTTTTCCCTCCTGGCTTGTTTGGTTAAGGGATTTCATAGGGGACAAGAGGAGTGAAAAGGTTTTTTATTCTACTAATTTATCCGTATTTTTCAGGGCCCTTTAGGAAATAGTTCTAGTATTTATTAATCAAATGCATCTTAACAGATTATTAGCCGTGTATGTCTTCGTACACGAAAAGCTATGCCAAGATACTGGAGAAATACTTAGGTCAACAATATGCTGAGCATTTGGAAATCACTGAGAACCCAATAATATGATTAAAACCCCAAATACTGTACTTAGTAATTAGTATAATGGGTTGTTCCATTATAGCCAATTGTTTTTTATAGTGGAACCCCTGTTTGGTTTGTTGTGTCCTGGAGTTGTCATTCCATTATAACTAACTGTTATGTTAGTTTTGGATGTTGTTTGATTAAGTTGTTAAATCACCAAGTCATATACATACATACATACATCCCCAAAATGTGATATGTGGAGTTCTCTGTATTTCATAGATTCTTTCAAAATTGAGAATAGAAAAGTGTATGCCTCTTCATTAGTTATTGATTGAGTTAATGTTAAATTTCGATCTTAACTCTTATTTTTTATCTTCTAGTTGTTGATGTCTTTTTGTGCACCCGTTATATAGGTTTTTTCAAAATTTGTGTCAACTTGATTGCATTCCATATTGCAGGAACATAATAAAAAAAGTACATGAAGATGTAAGGATGAGAAGATTGACAAGGAAAATGAAGATAGAGGAGACAAATGTGATAAATTGTGTGTTAAGGTGCAATAAATGTAATAAATAAATGTAATAAATTGTAATAACAGATGGAACTATATGTATTTTGTGATATTCTTATATGTTGGTTTTGTTGCTCATTGTTGCATCACATGTATTTCTTTTTGTTTCATCGTGTTTTTCTCTGTTGTATTGTGTTGCATTCTATTGTATCGTGTTGAATTTTGTTGTATTGTGTTGCATTTTATTGTATCGTGTTGCTTATTGTTCTTTATATTCACTAGTGATTTAGAATAAAAAATCAGATATAGCTATATATAAAAGCACCTGAAATGATAAATTTGTATTTATAATTAAACAAAAAGAAACATGAAGAAACAATAAAAAACAAAAATAATTAAAATTATCAACAAAAAGAAACACAAAGAAAAAATTACAACAGTCAATAATAATTAAATTGTACTGTATAATTCTTTTTAAAATATTATATTACTATAAAATAAAGTATTTTAATTTTTCATTTTTTGGTTTTAATATTATCTTTACTTTTTTCATTTTTATTTTTAAATTCTATAATTTACATGAGCTTTAGTTTATTTAGTTTATCAAATTTTATAAACTTTTAAGAACCTTATTTTCTATTTTAAATTTTTAATAAAAATTTAGTTTTACTTTTTTCATCTTTTTATATTTATTTGATTTTTTTAATGTTTTCAATTTTTTATTTGAAAATTTAATATTTTTTTACTTTGCATTAATACCAATTTCAATAAAACATTTTATATCATTTACATCTTCCTTTAAAAAATAAGTTTTTATATTTTTTCCAATTAATAAGTTTTTCACTTTTTGTACACTTTGTCCTTTTTAATTTTTATTTTAGTTTACATATTTTAAAAAATGAATAAATTATTTATACTTTTATGCTTTTATAAATTTT